CCTCCCCTCTTTCTCTCTGTGCTAATACATTTGCTCCGATGAAGGGTTAACCAGGGGGATCCACTGCCTTTGCTGTGTGTGTCCTCAGGAGCATTAGGATCCAGGGAATAACTTGGCCCCGCTTGGCTTTCCTCTCCCCTCAGAGCACAGAAATATTCCAGGATCTCACGCAATATGTCTTCTACAGTCGGTGTCAACATGTTTGACTATCTGGGCAGCATCCTGAGTTACGTTGTGATCGCAATCCCCATTTTCAGTGGTGTTTACGGAGACCTGAGCCCCACAGAGCTCAGCACCCTGGTCAGCAAGGTGAGAATTCCTCATGGTGACCCCTCATGCTGTCCCCGCCTTGGCCCAGTGCGCAGGGCCTGGGAGTCAAGGCCTGTGCTCACTGCTCCCCGTTCCATCCAGAATGCCTTCGTGTGCATTTACCTCATCAGCTGCTTCACCCGGCTCATCGACCTCTCCACCACTTTCTCGGATGTGGCTGGTTACACACACAGGTGAGGCTGCATCCCACACCTCTAGTTCCTGAACATAGTGTGTGTACTGGGAGAAGTGGCTGAATGAGAAAAGGAATAGAAATCTCCCCAGATCCTAGGGGGTGTGAGAAAAAAAGGATTCTTACCTTTATCTGGGCCCCCAAGCCCCTGCCTCAGGTTTTCACTTCTTGCCCAGGATCGGGGAGCTTCAGGAGACCCTGTTGGACATGTCCCTGAAGTCACAGGACAGTGAGATCCTGGACGAGAGTGAGTGGGACTCACACAGGTGAGTACTAGGTTGGCAGTGTGTGCATTGGTTGAGAATGCAGGCTCTGGAATTGCCCTGCTGGGGTTCACCGAAGAGCCCTGCCCTTTCCAAGCTGGGCAGCAGGGTTGTTTTTGCACAAATAAAGAAATCTGTGTCTTGTGCCTGGCATGTTGCAAACATTTGTAATTGGTGTTGCTGTTCTGGCACTCGTGACTGACTGGGAGAGAGAGAATTGGGTGTTATCCTCACTTGACTCTATAGCAAGTTCCTTAGCCACCTGACTCAGTTTCCTCACTGCCAAATGGAGATAATATCTGTGATTCATGAATTTTAAGACTGACTAACATCAGTCATGTGTGGGGCTTTGCCAAGCCTGGCTGGCACAAAGCAGGTGCCCCTCGGTGTTAGTCTGCTCCAGCTGCCATAACAATATCCCAGACTGGGTGGCTTAAGCAACAGTCATTTATTTTTTTCCTAGTCTGGAGTCTAAAAGTCCTCAGATCAAGGTATATGCAGGTTTCTCCTGGGGCCTGCCTCCTGGGCTTGCAGGTGGCTGTGTCCTCAGATGGCTATGTCCTCACTGAGTCCTCACATGGCCTTCTTTCTGCATGCACACTCCTGGCATCTCTCCCTCTTCCTAAAGGACACCAGTCATATTGGATTAGGTTCTTACCTGAACGGCCTTGTTTTAATGTAATCACCCCTTTAAAGAAACCATCTCCAAATGTGGTTACATTCTGGGGTACTGAGGGTTAGGAGTTTAGCATGTGATTCTGAGGACACAATTCAGCCCATAACCCCAATCCAGAGGTGACATCCCCAAGAAGAAGAGCTTCCCCCTGGCAATACTGACATGATCTTCTCCATACTCCTTCCCTTCTCTAACCTCAGGGCCCCAGGATGGCCAGCAACAGAGTCAACAGACATGGCTTTTCTCCTTGAGCGGGTCTACATCTCTGCACCCTCCTCTAACAAACCCTTAATCAAGGATCTGAGCCTAAAGATCTCAGAGGGGCAGAGCCTGCTCATCACAGGCAACACAGGCACCGGCAAGACCTCCTTGCTCCGGGTTCTGGGTGGCCTCTGGGCAAGTACACGGGGTGAGAACTAGCCTCCCTGTCCCTGAGCCAGCCTTGGCCTGGTAGTGAGTGTGTGTGTATGTGTGCGTGTACGTGTATGCGTGTGTGTATGTAATCCAGCCTTTTTTGTGCATGCATGTGTGTGTGTAATCCAGCCTTTTTTGTTGGGGCAATGGAGTGAGAAGCAATTACCTTCTCTGGGTGATCTCATAATGGAGGTTTTATGGGCTCTGCAGGCTCAGTGCAGATGCTGATGGACTTTGGACCCCATGGGGTGCTGTTCCTGCCACAAAAGCCATTCTTCACCGACGGCACCCTTCGGGAACAGGTCAGCCTGGGGCCCACTCCTCACCCCCAACCCCCAGCTGGGACCTCTGGCAGTATGACAGGTCTCAGCCCTCACCCCTCAGATACGGGGCAGAAGGTAGGGTAATAAAATGGCCTGTGCCTGGGAACTCCCTGGCTCTAGGAATATTTTATTCATATCCGTGGACTGGGCCACATACTCAGAGCAACTCCTGGAGCAGGTTAACCTGTGGGGGCTGCAAGCAAAAGATCACAGCATTTATTGAACACCAAGATTGGATTCTGGGGGCCCTGCCCTCAAACTCACAGACTCCTTCCAGACACACATGTGGAGGTTGCAGTAACCCTGCCCCACAGTCTGCTGGCCTGGCCTCTCTCGCTGGACCCTTGGCCAGGGTGTTCCTTACTCTGCCCAGGTGGATAGGAGCCTGGCCTCTGGCGGTTCCTGGGGCTGGGGCTGAGGGAGGGTGGGCCATGTGCAGCCCCACCTTGGCCCTCGTTCTATACCAGTGTGTTTTTTGTTTTATCAGGTGATATACCCCCTGAAGGAGATCTACCCTGACTCAGGTGAGCTGAGCCTCCTTGAGGCATGTCCTCCCACCTCAGTTGTTCCTACTCTTCTGACTGTGCCGTTTGGGAGAGTGTCCCCCCCCAGGCTGCTAGGTTCAACTGTTTACTGTCTTGGGGCCTGTACCCTGACCTCATCTTGTTTTGTCTTCCCCTCCTGGAGGAGAGTACCCGCTAGAGGAAGGGAAGTGATTGCTTCCTTCACCTGGCCCTGCCCTTATTAGGTCTGTAGCCTGTCACTTCAGAGCCTCAGCCAAGATTCTGAGTCCCCCTCCCCTAGCCATGATGTGCCCCATTTATTCTGGTTGCCCAGAAGGAGCTGACTTTGAAGAAGGCCCATCTGTCTTGCAGGTTCTACTGATGATGAGAGGATCATGCGGTTCTTGGAGTTGGCAGGCCTGGTAAGTGAGGGCAGGGATCCTGAGGTCCAAGCCCACCTGGTAGCACTGACCTAGCCCTGAGCCCAGGACTGGAAGCATGAGCCTGCGCTAAGGAGACAGACAATAAAGTTGCTGAGGGCACTGTTGGCCAGGTACAGGCAAAAAGGGGACACACGCTAGTGAATTTTAAAACAATAAAACTTATTACAAGACAGCATGCTTTTTCTTATCACCATGCTCCAACACATCTAAACAATGTGGTTGATAGGGTATTCCTCTCTGTCCCTGGCAGACTGCTCCTACAGCCCCCACCTTGGCACGCCGCCGGGGTTTGTAGGTCTGTCTCGGGTATGTGTGTGGTGGGGACTGGGAGTGGGGAGGTTCCTCAGGAAGCAGGGATGTGCACTTTATGGACATCATTTCCTCTGGGTGTGTTACAGTCTGACTTGGTGGCAAGGACAGAGGGGCTGGACCACCTGGTCGATTGGAACTGGTAAGAAGGGGGTTGGGGTGCTCCAGAGCCATTTTTCCTGGACAGTAGGTTCCAGCGGTCCACGGAAGGGATAGAAAGGCTCCTGACCCCGAAGTCCAGGTTTCATGCCCTTGCGAGCAGAGTTTTGGCCTCACCTTGTGTGGGCAGCAGGGCTATGGTTGCAAGGGGATATGACATCCATCTGTCCTGGGCCAGCCTCTCTGCAGTGAGAACCTTTTCCTGCCCAGACCCATTGTAGGCAAAGGCCAAACTATATTCTCCTTCCTCCAGTGATCCTCTCATTCCCTTTCCTCAGGTATGATGTTCTGTCCCCCGGAGAGATGCAGAGGCTGTCTTTTGCCCGGCTCTTCTACCTGCAGCCTAAGTACGCAGGTGAGGTCTCCCTTGTAAGTGTGTGTGCCCACAGGTGTAGGAGCGTGTGTTCATGCCCACCTGGGCAGTGTTGGTATTGTAGGAGAGCACACCTGTGCCTGGCTGGACATCTCTAGTGCTGGGCATTCTCAGAGTGGCTCTGGATGTGTTGCAATAAGCTTTCTGCCATTGCAGCAACTGGAGCCACCTTGAGAAGGCTTGTGATTTTATGGTCTGCCATCCAGGAATGGGCATCCTCCTAGCTGTGCCTGGCAGAGGGATGGCAGGTGTGGACTTTTCCAAAGACTGACATCCTTGGGGGAACCAGGATTCCCTGGATTGAGTTGCCTCAGGCAGTGTCTGGTACTGATCTATAGGAAGCTGAGTGGTTTTGAGGTAGAGCTTGGCTTCTGCTCTTTTGGCCAGTCCTGTCTAAGGCTGGTTTCCCATAAGTCAGAGCAGCTTTCAGCCTCCCCTCGGGTCCCAGCCGGAAGCAAGTGTGGATTGAAGGAGAAGCAGAGGCAGGCAGGGGCCATTCTCCATCCCATCTCTTCCCACTGGGTTCTGCCCTCAGTGCTTGATGAAGCCACCAGTGCCCTGACCGAGGAGGTGGAGAGTGAGCTCTACCGCATCGGCCAGCAGCTGGGCATAACATTTGTCAGCGTGGGACATCGGCGCAGCCTCGAGAAGGTACCTGTGCTCACAGAATGACTAAAGAGGAGGAGAACCCAATGGCTGGGCCAGAGGCCCCTCAAAATGGGCAGTAGGGGTAGCAGAGAAGAGGGTAGGGGGGTCGGTGGCCTCCTGTTGTCAGGGCCAGGGCAGCCTGATATCTGTGTGGTGGTGATCTCTTGTAGTTTCACTCCTTGGTTCTGAAACTCTGTGGAGAAGGAAGATGGGAACTGACCAGAATCAAAGTGGAGTGAAGCCAAGGATGTGGCTGGCCACCGAAAGGAGAGCCAAGCTCGGGGCAGGTTGGCTGTCCCCAGGAGACACCCAAGGGCTCCAGGTTCACCTCACAGGTTCTTTGCAGGGAGCCCTGGCAGCAGTGGACTCACCTAGAGGTAGCCTCCATGGGGTGCTCAGTCCTGCCAGGCCTCCTGCTACCTCAACCCGAGCGCCATACGTTTGAAGTGCCAGTTATTCACTTACAGATTGCTTCAGATTTGTTTTCTAAAGAAAAACCTGAAAGTGATGGTTCTGTAAGAAATGGTCAACATGGAAAGAATATTGGACTTGGAGTCAAGAGACCCAGAAATCTTTTTAATTGGTTAAATTTTGCAACAACAGATTTTTAACTTGAATCAGTTATTTAGATTTTATAACTTCTTTTTTTATATAAAAGATAAACATTGAAAATATCTGCAGCTTTCTCCCTTTCTCTTTCTTCTCCATTATAAGATGACCTTTTTAACTGAATTTGCAGACGTGTATTTGAGAGCCTACAGAGGGGAGCAGCACTCTCCACCATACTGGCATCTTCTGTTCCAGGTTTTTCACTTTATTCCATATCACCCCTTTTCCATTTGCCAGTTGTACCTGAGCCACTAACTTTTAGGGCACTTTCTGGTGGTTTTGGTTTTGTTTTCTATGTCTTACTCCTCAAAAAATAAGGTTGAGATTTTTCAAAAATAATCTGTATTGGGGAACAACCACCAGCTGAACAGACAAAACCCCAGAATCACAAAAGCATGAGGTGGACAATTACTAACCCAAAGTCCTTATTCTAAAACAGTATTCTATTTCCCAGAATTCAGTTTCAGATTATCACCTTCCTGATTTTTGCCAGATCTCTGTACTTGTACTGTTAATTACTTAATATTTTTAAAATTAGCTCACTTTTAAATTTGAATGCATTTTTAAAAGAAAGTTTACACTTGATATAAATAAAAAGTAACTGTAAAAGTGAATCCAGTGAAAACCAAATAGGTTCTGGCTCTGACTCTGGCCTACAGAGACTGAGCCTGAGCCTGAGCCTTGCCATCTGTACGAAAGGAGTTTAAGGGATATTATAGGAGTTAGACCTGCTAGTACCCAACTGAGATATTTCTCCTTCAGAAAATTAGAAAGATGGAATGGGAACTGCAAGGGTAGCAATTTTCTCACTATAAGACTTAAGGTTATTTAGCCCTGGCTGGTGTGGTTAGAGCGTCACCCCATGCACCAAAAAGTTGCAGGCTCAATTTGATGTACCTGGGTTTCAGGTTCCATCCCCAGCTCGGGTTGGGGGTGCATGTGGGAGGCAACAAATCGGTGTGACTCTCACATCAATGTTTCTCTCTCTCTCCCCACCCCCCTCCACTCCCTCTAAAAATCAATGGGGGGAGAAAGACTTGAGGTTATTTAATGCCTTCATGGTACCACTGAAAATGATCCCAGATGTGGTTTGTGAGTCTAAGACTTGGGGAAATACTGCCCTGAGTAACTGAAGTCTCACCCCACCTGGCTTGACTGGCATGTAGGCCTTGGCACTGTTCTTACTCAGCTCCACCCTATAGTTGTGCTAAACCAGTGTGTTCAGGAAGGCCAGGTCAGAGAGCATGACTGTGTGTACTAGGGAATCTAGAAAGCCACATACATGGCCAGGACAGGGTGCATGTTCAGAAAAGGTCTGAGAAGAACCTAAACTTTCCTCTCTGGCTGGTCTCTAGTCTCAGTCGCCGTAGGCTAAGGCAGTTGTAAACTGCTTGGCTGTGTTAAAGGAGTACTCTAGCACAGAGCCAGTCTGTAAAGACTGGCAGAAATTGGGGGTTTTGTTTGTTTCCAGTCCCTGGTATTCAAGGAAATCTCTGTCAAAATACTAGCTAGAACAGATTTCAAGTGACTACACATGACAAGGATGACAGTCTTTGGTAAAATATTTTTGGAATGTGACCAAACAAACATGACTATGATAATAATTAAAACAAAAACAAAAAAACAGCAACTCTGGGGAAGGGGAAGAAACTGATTTTCATAGTTACCATATTATAATATTTAAATGTCCAATTTTCAGCAAGCAAACCAAAAAACAGGATTATGATCCATTCAAAGGGGAAAAGATTGAAAGAAACTATCCCTGAGGAAGCCCAGGTGTTTGACTTACAAGACAAAGACTTTAAATTAGCTGTCTTAAATATGCTCACATAGCTAAATGAAACCCTAGAGCTGGTTCTAGCTCTGACTCTGGTGCTAGAACTGACAGCTAGCTGTGGACCTGGCACTGGCTTTAGTGCTGGATTTGGTGCTACAGTCACTTCCAACTCGAGCTGGCATTGGCTCTAGATCTATAACTGGCGCTGGTTCTGGAGCTGAAAGTATAGCTGGGTGTGGCCCTGTAGCTGGTTGCTAGAGATATCTAAGATCTGGCTCTACCTCTGAAGCAAGCTGTAGCCCTGACTGATGATTAGAGCTGGGGCTGGAGCTGGTACTAGCTTTGGACATACCATCGGCTCTGACTCTGGAACTGGTGCTATGGCTAGTGTTGGTATTGGCTCTAGCTCTGGAGCTGGCTCTAATCCTAGAGCATTTTCCAGCTCTGGCTCTGGTGCTGGAGTGCTTCTAGTGCTGAAGCTGACGCTCAGTATGGCTCTAGCTTGGGGGCAGGTGCTAGAGCTAGTGTTAGATCTGGCTTTAGCTCCAGAGCTGGTGCTGGAGTAGGTACAGTAGCTGTTTTTAGCTCTAGAGCTAAAACTAGGGCTGATGCTGGTACAGACTCTAGCTTTGCTGCTGACTAGCTCTGGAGATGGCGCTGAAGTTGAATGTAGCTCTGTAGCAGGCGCTAGAGCTGGCTGTAGCTCTGGATCCGGTGATAGAGCTAGCACTGGAGCTGGCCTTAGGGCTGGGGCTGGCTATAGCTTTGAAGCTGGTACTGGAACTTGTTCTAGCTCTAGAGTTGGCTCTGGCTGTAGGTCTACAGCTGGAGCTGGTATAAGAGCTGGCACTGGAGCTGGCTCTGGAGAAGTAGACACTACTTCAGGGCCAAGCCAGGCAAGTTTAAATGCATGAAGGCCATCTGCTGTTTCAGGCAGGGAAAGTCTGGAGGCTGAAAGGAATCTTCAGGTACTGGTCCAGCCAGGTGCCCAGGATGAAAGAGATGGCACTAGGGGTAGATGGGCAGGCAGCAGAGTCAGAGCCCTGGCCTTTCCTTCCACACTGCCTCCTACAGTTCCTCTGCAGGGACACTGCCCATTCAGAGACCGGCCCCTTTCCATCCCCAAACCTCTGGCTGTTCAGGCAGTGGCAGGCCTGGTCACCAGGTAGCAAAGATCCTCAGTCCTAAGGCACTTTCCATAAACATCTGACCAGATCTCCCCTTCAGGGGAGCTGACATCTGTCTCCTCTGGCCCCTTTGCCCACTGGAGTGTAAACTCCATGAGGGCAGGGAGTGATTGTGTCTGCTGGGTGTGTGCACAGTGCTGGCACACAGTAAATAACAGATATGGGAGCAGTCTGGCCCTGGCCTGCATGGCTCAGTGGTTGGAGCATCTGCCTGCACACTAGAGGGTTCCAGGTTCGATTCCCAGTCAAGGGCACATACCTGGTTGGGGTCCCTGAGTTTGTAGCTTGTGCACCAAGATGCTGCCTCACTCTGCTCACCGTTTGTGGTCGTATCTTCCCATTGACACTGCGTTCCAGAGGGCAGGCGTGCAGCCCGTCCTAGGCCCCCATGTAGCTGAACATGCACAACTGAGGTTCAAAGCTGATGCGTGAGCAGTTAGCTCACCATACCTCCTCTTTTACATACCCCCCCCCGTTGAAGGGGGGAAGGAGGGTAAGTAGAGCTGTGAAGGGGATGTGCTGAGTCTGTCTGATATTGCCTCATGATTAGGTTTAATACAAACTAAAGAGGAAATACCAGACAAACTCAAATTGAGGACTTTCTATAAAGAAACTGGCCTTGGGGACATCTGTATAGTGTCAACAGTAAAAATAAAGTTAAGCCCTAGCTGGTTTGGCTCAGTGGTTAGAGCGTCAGCCTGCGGACTGAAGGGTCTCGGGTTCAGTTCCAGCCAAGGGCATGTACCTCAGTTGCAGACTCAATCCCGGTCCTGGTTGGGGTGCATGTGGGAGGCAACCAATTGATGTGTCTCTCTCACATCAATGTTTCTCTCTGTCCCTTCCACTCCCTCTGAAAAGCAAGGGGAAAAATATCCTCGGGTGAGGATTTCAAAAAATAAAGTTTAAAAAAAGGCCTGAATTCTTCAAAAATGACAGAATTATGGAAGGCAAGGAAAGACTGACTGGATTGTTCCAGATTGGAGGAAACTATAGAGACTTAGCAACTAAATTCAGTGTGGTTCCTGGATTGGATCCACCATTTATAAAGGACATTATTGGAATGATCAATTCTGTGGACTAGATGAAAGCATTAAATCACTGTCAGTGTCTTGACTCCATTGGTGTATAGAAGTTATGTTGGTAAGTATCCTCATTTTAAGGAAATACATACTGAAGTATTATGGAGTAATGGGACATCGTGTCCTCAGCTTGCCCTCAGATGGCTTAGAAAAGCAATAATATATATGAAGAGAATAATAAGGCAGTGTAGTAGTTTAAAATTAAAAGGTCACAATTAATTCAAAATTGACAATTAAAAAAAAGTAACTACTGAAAGAATAAGTCTTTCCCCACTGCCACCTGACTGTCATACCAGGTAGATGGGCTGCATGCCCTTGGGAGAGCTCGCGTTCTTCCAGCCAACACTGCAACCAGCAGGAACAAAAGGCTGGAAGAAAATGTAGCCTTTCCTTGGTTTCTCTGCCTAACCAAATGCAGTCACTTATCACTCCTCCACTGCTTTCTTGACATTTTTGAATAAAGAGGACAATTGGAGAGGAAGATGTCAGTGGTAGGAGGGGGTTGATAAGAACCAAGTGAAACAAATCCAAGCAGATAGCCTGATGTCAGAACTGGGGGATGTGTTCCCACAGGGAACTGGGTGGGGCAGTGGGGAATCTTCAGAGGTAATCACATTATTCAGATTTTTCAGCCCCTTACAGTCGACAAAGGGCCTTGGAACTTCTGGGAAAATGGTAGACTAGGCTGGTGAAGAAAATCTCATTAAGATCACCTAGAGATGACTAGAATATAATAAAAACAAGTTTCATGCATAACTGAACTAGGAAACCAGAAGGGAAATCCCAGGCATGAGAGCCAGAGCAGTGATGGGAGTGGGGTTAGCAGGTGACTGCAGACTAGGAGCTTCATTTTATTTATTTAATCCTCACCTGAGAGTATGTATTGATTTTTAGAGAGAGGGTGGGGGAGAGAGAAATGATGCAAGAGAGAAACCTCAATCGGTCACCTCCAGTATGTACCCCCACCTGGGGATCGAACCTGTAACTCAGGTATGTACCATGATTGACATTCAAACCCAAAACCCTTTTGTGCACAAGACTGCTCCAGCCAACTAGTCACACCAGCCATGGTGGAGCATGCATTTTATTTTTTTATTTTTTAAAATATGTCTATTGATTTCAGAGAGAGGAAGGGAAAGGGGGAGAGAGAGAAACATCAATGATGAGAGTCATTGATTGGCTGCCTCCTGCACGCCCCCTACTGGGGATCAAACCTGAAACCTGGGCATGTGCCCTGATGGAATCAAATTGTGATCTGGATCCTAGCTAGGTCAATGCTCAACTGCTGAGCCACACCTGGTCGGACTGGAGCTTGCATTTTAAATGTCCATACAGGGACAGAAGACCAGGCCCAAGGTAAGGACTGGAAAAAATACTTAAGCAATCCAAGTATTCTCACAGAAAAAAAAGAAAAGCTGTCACATTAACTTACAAAACAAGCAGACAATATAGCATGAGTCAGCAAATGCAACAAACAAGGTAGATTTGAGCAAGGAGAAATTGGAAAATGCACAATCAGAGGGCCACCTTGTCCCTGACCCTGACCCCTTCCTGTGACAGACTCCCTGAAGTGCATACTGGGAGCAGAGCCATGGAGGTAAATCAGAAGGGGCCTCTGGCTCAGGTGAGGAGTCAGGGAGGGGAGGGAGCTGAGAGCCACTGAGAAGAGTTGGCATTGGGAGGGACTGATCTGAGAGAAATTAATGGAGCAGATCACTGCTGGGCCTGCTCAGCTGTGACTGAGCAGAGACTTCATTGCTGCCTGAGTTGAGGAGCAGCCAGGCAGGAGGAGGGGACAAGAGAGACCTAAAGAAGAATGGTGCAGCAGGAGATAGAACCAGTTGAGGCCAGTGGCTCTTGACCCAGACTCAGCTCCCAGAGGTGGAACTTGGGTTCTGGGTGATCTTTGGAGTCTTGAACTGCGACACTCAGCAAACAGAGCCCTGGGGTAAGAGAGGGAAAGGAGCATCAAAGTTCCAATCCAAAGAAGCCCTCTGTTGTTTTCCCTCTAGAAGGCAAACTAGTTTTTTTAATAAACTTTATAACAATTTCAGGTGTGTAGAACAATGGTGAAGATAGTATAGAGAGTTCCAGGAAACCCTCTGCCAGTTTCCCCTGAGTAACTTCTTACATTAGTGTGGTAACCAGGTGGGGTGGCACACCGCCACATCCTGGGGGAGTCTGCGGCCACTGCAGCTCTCCGGGGAGCAGGAGGAAGACTCCCAGGCGCCCAGTGAGCTGGGGAAACCAGAGACAGGAGGCTGGATGGACTAGGTCCTAGAGATCCCTCAGGTCATGGCCCTACTTTCAGGCCACAAGACTGGGCCTCAGGAGCTCCCCGACCCTCATCCCTGCCTCCTCTTGCCAGACTCCTCATCCGTCCTTGCCAGGCCTACTTAGCAGCTCCAGCAGCCCTCATCAGTCAGGGCTCCTTGCCCTTTTACACTCTTGCTCTTGGTGCACACAGCCTGTTGGGCCTGTGGAGCCTGGATTAAAATCTCCCTTCCAGGCACTAGGATCTTGAGAAGCCCTCCAGGGGGATACAGTCAGCACCTAGCGAGATTCCCTTCATCCTGCCCTGTTGGGCCCTGCTGTCTAGGCCCCTCCTTTCCTGTTCAGTTTCTTCACTGTGCAGTGTCCCAGGCTCTCCCCTCCTTGATTCCCTGTGGGCCTGTTTGCATCATGTCCCTCTGCAGAGAGCTGCACTTCTCTTCCCAGGGTCAATTCCCTGGGGGATTGTCCAGGAGGATTTCTGGCAGCTCCCAAGCCTCTGAGTGTCCCAGTTGCCCCCCAGATCTGAGGATGGGGCAGCTGCCAGGAACACACCCCAGGCTTGAAACATCCTTGGTGTGGCTGCCCTTCCCTTGTGTTCATGTGGGACCTTGTAACAATGGGACAGGTTGAGCAGATGTTACTCTGATTTAAACACAGGAGAGAGAGGCTCAGGGGTTGTATACCTTGACCCACGTCCAGGTTATGGTTTCATTGCCTCTTATCTCACACCTCCAACACCTTAGAACATTTGCAATTTTGTATTTTTCTCTGATTACTTGAATTCTATCTTTCCCTCCAAATAGGACAGCTTTGCCCACCACTCTACCCCCAATGTCTTGTCCACTGGCTGATACACAGATGCTCCCTAAATGTTTTAAAATCATTGGATGAATGGATTATTTAGACTAAGACAATTCATTCATTCCACAGTGGATTGGGTGTCAAGCCCTTTGTGGGTGTGGGGGTAAAAAGTAAGATGCAATCCCTACCGTTGCAGAGACTGGTCTTGTGGGGAAGACAGACTCGTAAGTAAGAAATTACAGCACAGTGCATAGATGCCTTGATGGAGGACTGTCCCACCTGCTGTGACTAAGCAGGATCGACGACCTTCCTGGAGGAGGGGCCTTGAAGCTTAAATGTTGGGGTGGGCAGAGTGAGGGAAGGGCCTTCCTAGCCCAGAAGGCGGCAGTAAGTTCCACATCTGAGCCAATTTGAAATTATCATGAGACTTCTTGAGCCAACAGCTCAAGTACAACCTCTCCATTCTGTTTCCTGCTCTCTCGCCTGCACCTCCATCCCCCACATCAAGCAGGTAGGCCCCAGCTGCCTGCAGACAATCTCACGCAGTCTTCCTCGGCTTTTCTCATTTACTCCCTTCTTTTTGACGGATTTAGCAAACGTTTGTCTGACTTTCAGTTCTAGATACCATTTGTTGTGTAATTAATGTTGTGATGTAAGATATCAAGTGCACATGTGTACACAAAAGGGAGTCCCGATTCTCGGGGGCCAAGGTGAGCTGTGGGCATCACCTGAGGTGTGAATGAAATAGGGTTATTTGTAAGTACCAGAGGGGTCAGTGTAACCTATTTTGTGGAGAACACGAGGGATTCATAGGTAATAACTTAAGGGCTCAAGGGCTGGGGTATTTTAGGTGTGCCTGCAATGGAGGAGGGTCCCATATCAGAGTGATAAATGTCATTGGAAGGTGACAAATGTCAGCCCAGTGGAGAAAGGCAGGCCACGGTGCCTCTACAGTTGGAGTAATTTTAAAAGAGGAACCTAGCAATTCTGATTTAAAAATGACTTAATGGATTTGCTTTTTATGCTACACAGACACACCCAGGGAGGACTCCTGGCTCCCTCCCCTGCTGTTTTTCGTCAGTTTTATTCTTACTTGTATCTTTACAGAAAATGGCACAGAAATCACAGGTTTAGAATACCTAGAAGTTGTTACAGTTCCATATTTCAAACACCTCAATATCAAGATTCTTTCTTCTCACTCTATGTACATTATTTACACACCAGGGCTACAGTCTAAGACTTCAAACCAACAGGGGACAAAGACAAGAAGAACTGGGGGGGAAGTTCCATGAATGGAATAAAGAAATCAACTTTTGATGGGGAATTAAAATCCCAATTCACTGTCTCAGGCCTTTCTCTCACGAAGTATTCCCTGCAGAAGTGGGTGGGATGGTAAAGAAATGCCATGGGGCAAGCGGGACATGTACCTGGCCTGGGGGTGGAGGGACAGGTCCTCTCATCAGCAGACAGAAAGCCCCCAGCCCTCCACTCCAACACAATGACTGACATTCCGGTGGACATGCACCACGGCATACACCTGGCATGAAGGTGTGTGTGCCTATTGCTTAGTTGGGGTTTAACACTGGCTCCTCCCTTTCCTTCAAGCCTGTTCTCACACCCTTCTTGTGACAATAACTATATATGGCCCCAGGCCCACTCCAGGCTTGGCCTCCCAAGGACAACCTGGATGAAGTTGGGTCAAGGTCTGTGGCTTCCCAGGTGTTCATTTACCAGCTGGATTGGGTTGCTCCAAGGCAGGGCACATGCGAACCAGTAATTTGTGAGAAGCTCTAGGGGAAGGGTGCCTTGCACAGCAAGCCAGGGTCACAGGCAGCACATCAGGGGAGTCGGGCTATTTTAGAACACAGCCCAAAGGGCCCTAGAGAGGGTTTGCCTCCCAACAGTGCAGAGAGCCACAGCGTTGGTGAGAGGTGCCCCTGGCTGCAGGGCACAGGCCCTGGACTCACTACAGGTGTTGTACATCGTCACGTGTGTGGCTGGCACCTGTGCTGGGAGGAAGGGTGGGGCAGGCAGGGTGTGGAGAGGGCAGGTACCGGAGGGTGACCATGGCCGGCATGAGATGGAGGGTGGCCGAAGGGCCCAGGCTGACTTCCCAAGTTTAATCTGGACTCGGCCCCATTGATAGGGTGGAGCAGAGGTTGTTCCTGGGCCTGCAGGGCAGTACATTCACATGGAGGCCCAGGCCCAAGGGAAGGGACAGGCTGAGAGCAGCAGAATTTGGCTGAGGACCGGGGTGGTCAGGACATTGGCCCTGGAGTGCAGGTCCTCAACCCCTGACGCGGCCGTGGCAGGCAATGGGCTTTGGGTCTGGGGGAGCAGAATCCGTAGGGGTTAGAGCTGGGAAGAGGGCTATAGAGCAAGAGAACAGTGAGGGGCTGATCTGGACCACGACAGTCACCGAGGGACTGAGTGAAAGCAGCTTGAGGGGGTGCTTCTGAGCAACATTGAGGCTTCTGAGGCAGGGCTGTTGGGCTGAGGAAGCTGCTGACGAGGTCAGACTAGGCGGGGGACATCAGCATGGCCCAAGGCCTTGGCCAGACTGAGTGTGTGAAGTCGCCCGGGGGCCATGGAGGGCCATGGGGCAGGGGAAGGGTGGCCAAGGCCAGGCTGGGCCCTGCCTCGGAGGACACCTCCCAGCGCCACAGGCCCGAGAAGAGCAGTCCTGGGGCTCCGGGGGCAGTGCACCCGGGACCTAGGCCACGTCCTCCAGCTGCCTTGGACTCGGCTTCTCCCCCGGCCGGTCTTCGTCCATGGGCGCCTCCTCCTCGGGCTCCTCGGCATCCCGGGCCAGGCTGTTGGGCGCGGACACAGTCCCCAGCACCTTGGTGCTGTGCTCCTGAGCCCGGGCTCGGAGCGCCGCGATGCTGTTCTCCCTCAGTTCCTCCTGCGACATGGCCGCGGGCGGGTCGGGGCCCCGCTCCTCCTGCTCCGCCTGGTCCAGCTTGGCCAGGGCCTGGCGCTCCACCTCGGGCTTCCTCCCCTCGGCCGCTGCCTCCAGCGACTTTTTGTGCATTCCTAAAAAGAAGTGTTGGTATTCGGGTTTAGAAAAGCGCCTGGGAAAGCCATCTTGAACTGAAAACGGCAAAGATAGAGAGAGGCCAGAATTAAGGACAAGCAGAAAGCCTTACTTCACACACCGCAGT